CCCCTACCTTGATCCATTTAGAAGGCAGCTCTGACAACCTTTTATGGCAGAAATATCATTATCTCTTGATTTCTGGGAGAAAAAAAGCTTTGTGACAGCTATTTTTTAAATGAAATTTCATATAGGTTACTAAAAATATTGTACAATAGTTTACGAAAACTCCACTGGAACTCAGGCCATAAGACATTCTCAGGCTGTATATTGTCACCAAACAACTGGAAATCTGATCCTGAACATCTCCAATGCAACTGTCTTCTCTTGAAAAATAAATCTATCAATGACCACCAGAGAACTAAAATTACTAACATCCCTAATGAGGAGGAGAAAAAAGACTTTTTACAGACTGGGGAGGATTTTTACATAACAGTTCCTCTAAGCCACTTTACAGCTGCTTAAAACCTTATTTTTAAAAAAAATCAAAGTGAAAAACATCATGTTAATCATCTTTCTTATGACTTTTTTTTATTCAGCTGAAACTGTTCAACTGCTTTCAAGGATGACAAGAATGACAAATATTATTTCTATTTTTAAAAAAATCTTACAGTTATTTTACTGAAAGGCTCCAAAATCTCCACCGTTTTGGAGAGGGCACAGACACACCCACCACCTTCTGTGTGTGATGTATACAACTTCTGCTAAGTTCAGGACCCAAAAATGCTTCATTTTAAATGGGAGTGTAGAGGTGCTGGAGTTTACCAGGTACACTCCCCAGGGCTCCTGCTGCAGTGAGCACCCTGTAAGTGACAACACAAGGCCTAGAAGAAGTTCTGACGCAAGCACAGCTCTGGCTGCTGGAGGTCAGTGTGGTCTCACATGCAGGAAATGTCCTCAGAGCACCCTGATAAGACAGAGGAAGAAGGATGAAGATAAGAGAGAGGAAGGAGAAGGAAGTGGCATCTTTCAATAGTGTAAAGAGAAGCAGAGAGGGGGAAGAAGTTGAGGGCAGGGGATAGTGGAGAATTTGGAAGAGGAAAAAAAATAAAATTAAGAAAGGTGAAAAACAGGAAAAGAGATTGCAACTGGTACAGAATAATCAGACTCTCACATAGACAGAATTTTTTTATTACTTTACTTCTTGGTGTAACATTCCTTATGGTGTGTACAAACAAGCTGCAGTCTTCAATAAAAAACCACCTTTCTCAACTACTAATACAAAACCATGCAGACAACAGCTGTCTGCCAGTATTAGTGATCTAACTGGTTCCAAGGGCACAAGACTGCCTCTGGATCCAAGCTCCCAACTATGGTGACAGCAGAGGTGATCGATGTGATTTCACATAATCAACAGCAACATTTCCTCTCCCTTTCCCAACAGGATAGCTTTAACAATACCTTAAAAATATCAAGATGAAAAAATACTGATGAAAAAAGTGTTTAAGCACTATGACAAAGGCTTCAACTGCTTAGCTTCATAGCAGCATTATTATACAGGTCCCATACCTCATTTAATCCACTGAACTGTCTGTGCTTTGAACATGAGCAAAGACTGCATAGCACAAGAAAGGATTTTCCTTCTTCTACTGCAGAAGCTGGAAGGTGTGTCCCGAATTTGTTTTTAAACTACAACAATCACTTACCATTTAAAGATATGAACAACAATAAACCCGTATCTACCTTCCTTCCACTCCCATTTTGCAAAGAAACATCAGACTGAAACACGATGATTTAGGAAAGTCATCATCCAAATGAGCTTTAAAGAAACCAACACACAGGATCACAGCCCAGGGGAAGGATGGGTGGGTAAAAAAGAAAAAATATGGCCTTTGCTACCAAGTTACAGTGTTCAAAAGCCTTTCTAGACCTCTATCAATGCAAGTTACTTCACTGGTTCTTTATTGCTTTCCTTAATCTTTTCCACCACGAACCTGAAAAAGACTAATATTTGGACTACGGATTAAACAGAAATTAGACAAGTCTTACTGTATCACAATACAAAGTTAGTAAGAAATAAATGCACAGGGACAGTATAACAAAAATAATTTTAAAACATATTTCCTATGACTTGCCCTACTGAATACAGATTTTGTTCTATTCAGCAGTTCCAAACTCTACATCTCAATACAGCACTATGTTTAAAATGTAATCTGTTGTGACAGAAGACAGAAGTTGAGAGCTGTGTCAGCGAGCAGGCAAACCAAACCTAACGGAGTCTTCTCTAATGCCCCCAGTTAAACGTGTCGGTCTGGGAGGCCGGCCTATTGCCAGCAGCACCGGAGTTCACCCGGATCCATACAGCTGAATAGGGATGAACGCCTTTCAGCCTGAACGGGAGAACTAACTGAAAGTCGATAGTGAGAAGCTAGTGCTTAATCCTGTAACACACAGGTAGAGCAGCTGCGCATCGCTCCGGCAGTACCCCTCAAACTAATCTCTCCAAGAACAAAGGGATGATTTATTTCCTACTACATTCCCAACGTCACTGTATTACAACAGGTAAAATTGTGTAAAATGTCTTCCCACGTAACGCATGATATTCAGTGGTTTCGGTGATGCTGCTCTCAGGTTCCCCCACAGTCCAGCAGCATTTCCGCTGCCGTGCGCGAAGCGGGCGGCCTGGGGATACCCAAACGCCGCTGTTCCGGAGCACCGTCCGCCGCTGCCTCCTGATGCCGGCCGGTGGGTGCACCAGGGCTGCCTGGCTTCTTTTGTTCCCTGCTATCCGTCATTTTCCGCCGGGCACCGCGCTGGGCAGAGGCAGCCGCGGGCAGCGGCGCTCCAGCGACGCCCCGGGGCGCATCGCTCGGCGAGCCCGCTCCTGGCCCCGCTGCCGCCTGGCCCCGCATAATGGGACAATTCACCCCGCATCCTCCCGCCCCGCACAGGTAACGGGCGCTGCCCACCCCGGGCCGGGCATCCAGCGCAGCCTCTTCCCGAAGTCCGCGGGTGACACCTCACGGGCAGCGGCTGCCGAGCGCGGCCGCCCCCCGCGGCTCCAACGACCCCGCGCCGCGGCCCCGGCGGCCGCCCCCGCCCGGCGGGGCGGTGCTGGCGGCGGGGGTCAGCCCGGCACAGCCCGGCACAGCCCCGCGTCCCCCGCAGCTCTCCTCGCCGCAGCCCCTCGGAGCGCAACCTGTGCGCCCGGGGCGGAGGTCCCTCTTCTCTCCGCCCGGCCCGGCTCGGCACCACCACATCTCAGATGCCCGGGGAGAGCTGTGCCCGGCGGGAAGGTGGCGAGGCCGCGCAGCCGGTGCACGGAAGGGCTCGTAACCGTGTCAGCCCCACGCAGGATCACCCACCGCGGCAGCACCGAGGGGCGCCCCGCCGCCAACCCACCCCGACCTCTCCGCCTGTCACATGAAAGCAATTATTGCCTCGGCCGGGGGAGGGGAGAAGTTAAAAGCCGTGAGCCGAAGGCCGGTGGCGGCCACCTCCCTCCCGCCGCCCCCAGCGGCACCCGCACCCCACCCGCCCGCCGGGAGCCCCGGCCGGCCCGCGGCACCGCCACCCCGGCGGCCTGGACTCACCCATTTATGTCGAGCTGGGCTTCGCCTGGCAGAGAGAACAGGCTGAAAGTTTGGGGCGGGTGGCCACGGCGAAGGCAGGGGGCGAGGGACCGCCCGAGCCGCCGCCGCGCGGAGCGGAGGCGCTGACAGAGCCGCTCCCTCCTCCGGCCGCCGCCGCGCTCAGCACCCGCCGCAGCCGGGCTGCATCCTGCGGGCAGCGCCGCGGCTCCTTCGGCGTGTGCGAGGAAAACAAAATATACAGAAATCAGGCGAGAGAACGGGCTCAGCCTTCACCTCCTGCAGCCACCTGGGGCCCCGCTGCCGCCACGCAGAGCAGCCCGGGGAGAACGCGCCTGGAGGGGGCTCGAGCCGAGGGTCGCCGAGCCGGGCGGGCGGTGCGAGGGCGCGGGAGCGGCTCGGGCTCTGAGCGCGGGCAGCGACCGCCGCTGCTGCTGCCGCTGCTGGTGCCGGGGCGAGCGGCCGCTCCGGCTCCGCGCTGCGGGAAGTGTCGCGAGACTGCGCCAGAGCCGCTGCGCCGCCTCGGGCCGGCGGGAGCTGGAGCGGCGGGGGAAGGAGGGCGGGGAGCAGGGGAGGGAGCGGGGCCGCGGTCCCGGCGGGGGCAGGGGCGGCGGGGAGCGGCGGGGAAGGGGGTGGTTCCCTCCCTCTCCGGCCAGGACTTGTCGGCCGGGCACGGGGAGGGGCAGGGGCTCGCCCGATGTGGGCGCTGGGGGAGGATGGAGAGCGCTCCCAAGCGGCGGGACGGGCGGTACCTGGGAATCCTGGCACCCACCTGCCCCGTCCGCGCACGGCCCCCGGGAGATGTGCCCGGTCCTGGCGCCGGGGCTCTGCCTTCGGGGACACGCGCCGGCACCTCCGCGAGGGAGGAGGCCCTGCCCGTGAGAGAAGGGGACGGGAGGGGGACAGCCTTCCTTCCCCCACATCCTCACAGGTTTGGCTTTAGAGGTCGGCAGGGAAGGAAGGAAAGAAGGAAGAAAAGACAAAAAGATTAAAGAAGAGTGCACGTACGGTGGTGTTGACGTTTCACTAAAAAGAGGAGAGGCGCACAGGAGCACTGATTGTTCCTACTGCAGGGAGAAGCCCCTGCTCCAGTAACAATGAGGGAAAAGAAGAGCAGTAACTATGCACACATCAATGACATGTTTGCACAGCAAGGCACTGCGCGAAGGAGGGAAGGCTTCTGCACAGGCACCTCTTCTCACAGGTCTACAGTAGTAGCAGAGGAGAAGTGCAGATAAAAAAAAAATCTGGCATGAAAGATAAAATATAGATAACATTTTACAGCATTAGCACCTTGACTATTAATGAAAGGTTAAGCAAAAAAAAAAAAAAAAAAAAAAACAAAACCCAAAACACCCTGTTCTAACCTCAGATAGTAATCTGTGTATGAAGAAAGAAAACTGTCACTAACATAAAGGATACATTTTTGCACTTCTCCACTCCCTGCACAACAGAATTTATTTTGAAAAAAATTGGGTTTTTTTACCCTGAAAATGACAACAAACATTAATAACTACTGAATCAAATCACTGAATTATTTTTAAGTAAAAATTTTGTGAAAACATTTATTGTCTGTAGAAACAAAATTTACATTTATTTTATATAAACTATGTTAAACATACATATAAACATACCTACATCTTACTATATATACTTATGAATGAGGCTTTTAGATATGGGATAACATTGTCAAAAGCACCTCTGTGGACTCAAAGACTACAGACTTAAATTGCATTTGCATTTAACTCCAGCTTCAGTAGTTCAAAAGTGTCATTTCTTATCCACACTTACAAATAATTACATTAAAGGCTTCTAATAGTGTGTTTGCATGTGTACATACGTGTGCACATACACACATTAGACAGTCCTTGTGAAACTACAGTATAAATAACGCCAACAATCTATTCCTTAGAAGTGGACATTAGTTCCCCTCATTCAACTGGGGGCAAAAAATTCCTCCTATTCTTTAAACAAAACAATGAGGCTTTTTTTATTCCATGAAGAACGTACTCGAACAACAACTGTTTCCACCCTGTCTCTTCCCCTCAATAATAAAGACATAAGAGAAGCCAGTCACAAAATGAAAGCCATCTACTACATTATTTACAGAAAATGCAGTACTAAGACAACATGAGATTTAGACTTCTTAGATAAAATTCAGAGGAATGAAGAGTGAGCAGAAGAAAACTGTATTAAAGTGGCAGGCAGCACAGAGCTACTAAACCACAAGGCTAAATACCTTCTCAAAAGCCCTCCAACAACAAAAATCACCAGGCACAGAAGGAAGGGGCAGGTGTTATGACAAGAGTTTTCTCTGATCTTGACACTGAAAATTTATGCTCACAAAGCCTGAAACAGAAAAAACGTTCATGACTATCCTTAAGGTCTATTAAGGAGTCAAGTGTCACAAGGAGGCTTTCAGAGATCTTGAAATGGCTTTTATTACTTCTTTCCTTCATAAGGAGGCTGAAGAACTTCCTTATCTTCAAATCCTGCAGCAATGGAATGACATCTGTCAAGGCTCAGAGTTATGTGCAGAAACATCCTTTTTTTTTTTTCCCCAGATTCATTAGGATGCAAGTCTGAAGTCTTTTAAGAGGGCTCTCCCATGAAGAACATTGGAGATTGCTGTTCAGATGCTTGAAGAAAGGCAAGAGGCATGTTTCTAACACAGAATGGGAAAAGCTTTCCTTTCAGAAAGCAAGGAAATTAAAGAACACCCTCCATTTACAATCTAAGGTAAATACTGAGAAATCAGTCTCTGTTATGATTTTTATCATCTTCTCCAAGCAATTCTAACTATCCATTTCCAAGACATGGCAGAAAATAACCTTCCGATGCATAATAAGCAAGTTTTGAGAACTCTGCCTTTTTTAATGCCACAACAGTGTTATCTTGGGATTTTTTTCTGTCTTTAAAGCAACCAAGTTCATTTAAACAAAACTCACCCTGAGGCCCTAGGGAAGAAGGCAGCAGGTAAAAACTGTTACACAACAGGCGATCGATCAGCTGAATTTCCTCCCAACCTGTATCAGTTACCTGAGTTGAGACAATTATGTCCAGGTCTCAAGACCATCTAAATCCATCAGGTAAAACGATTTTAAACATGTAAGTAATTATTAGAGTTAAGGCAGGCTTGCAGAAGCCTTGCAATGTGTTGTTTCTTACTAGACCCAGAATTTTGTGAACCTTGTGAACCCAATCATCACAAAGTTTAAAGTAACGATTCTAACCAACTTATGCAGAGATTAAATGGATCAAGCAATGTAATTGCTAACATCATAGCCACTCAGTATTTCAGACACTTAGTAGGAAGACTCTAGTCATATTAAACCCATTGCATTTTGGATAGCAATTAAAAAAACAATTTCACATGTGAACAACTGAGAATGACATGAGCATTTAACAGCCATTTCAAGCTAAACAAAAGAAAGGCAATTCACATTTGTATTTTCAAAGTATAAAACAGAAAGCTAGAAAGCTCTTAAGACAATCACATTTTCAACTTGCCCTTCCAATGCAAATGCAGTGACTTCACTAATAAAAGAGTCACTGTTTTCCTACTGAGGCTTACACATGTAAAGTAAACAATTATTTTAACAAGAACTGTTATCAGTCCATGCTCCCATTAGAAAGAATGCAATGATCAGGATTTCACTTAAGTCTTTGTACAGGTGTTTTCTACAATGCAGTCACAATACAGAAAGGCACCAAGTTATTCAAGTAAATTGACCTTTCTTCTACTTAACACTTTTTCCTGTGTCTTCACAACCCAATCAGTAACTTCAGTACATTGCTCTCAACCAAACACTGTATTCCAGTTCAACAGAATTTTCTGTGCCAAAAGAATAAATAATCTGATTTGGCTATAAGTATGTAGACACAGGCCCCTGTAATTCACAAAGATAAATCTACATAGCAATGTCTCATACCAGATACAGAGTAGATGCCTCTAGAATCTAAGCCTTGAATTTTTATAAAATCCATACATTTCTGTACGCATTTTATAAAATTTAGAAAGTTTTATCATGTCAGAATCTCAAATTACTGAAGTTATCAGTCAAGAATGTGATTTGAGCAAATAGTATCACCTTACATAAAAGCTAAACCAACTGAAACAGTAACTATATTTCACATTACATTCATCTTGAGATGGGCAAGGGTAGGTGGGGGGGGGAATCAAAGTCAGCAAACATGTCAAAAAAAACCCCCAAACTTCTTTGTAATATGTTGGTCACAGTTGTAGAAATAAAGCAGAAAGCTAACTGTTAAAGTACAAAACAAATTAGAGTTACCTAGTCATGCATAGATAAAATAAGAAAGCACAAAATCAGGAGTCAGTCACATGTTTAAAACTGGTTAAAGCAGCATTAACTGACTGAAGTCTGACTACTTCAGCATTACTTCCAAGCAGTGTTAGCAAAACTGCCATGTCAGAAGTTTCTTCATGTATCCACTTTTCCCATTTGCTCAACAATGAGTTCACTTCCAGGCTTTAGTAAGAACACTGCAGGAAGCTTACAGACACAGTAGTATCCTGTTGAATAAGACAATACAGCTTCAGTAGCTCGTCCTTTATCATATATGGTTTCACTTCTTACATCTTTCACAGTGCACATTCAAAAGTTGTGTGAAAGGCTTGTTGGCTTGAGGGTAAACCTGCCCTCATTTGTGGGGCCCGTGCAGTGCTCCCTTGCCAGCAGCTACTCCACATTTACTTTGGGTTGACTCACTTCACCTGTTGTTTCAATTCCTTATTTTCATCTCCCAGTAACTCTACACGGGATGATTCTGCCAGATCCCTCACTGACAGCATAAGTAAAATACCACTTTCTTATCTGCAGAAAGTTGCCTGCCTCTATCCGGCCACGAAATTTCTTTCCTTTCACTTCCCATTTTGTGTATGCATGTGAGGTTACTGAAAAACTAGTTAAATCATTAATGACTGTTATTTAAACTGAAGATCTGTGTTTTAGAAACAAACCATTTGTTACTGTTGAATGACCATAACATCAATGAATGTTGCACACTTCCTGCCTTATTCCCTATGAACGCTAAGCAGTGCACCCCTTGAACTGAAGATCTGACGTGACACCACTTTAGCTGTTCTGAGCCATAACCACATTTTCAAATACTCTCTCTACTGAAGGCCTTGTGGAAAAAACCATTACAAAAAAAGCATGCAGAAATCACATCCTGACTTTCCACCCAAAAAACCAAGTTTCCTTTCCCCTGAACATACCTCTAACCCATTATTTGAATTCTGATCTACTAGCCACAACAGAGACTAGCCTGCATTCTATATAGCTAACACACCTTTGAAATTATGGAGATACATTAGCCTGCATGTATTATGGATATTGTGAACAACTTCCTTCTTAAGAACATCTCTTAAAACTACGTTTTATGAATCTTTAACTTACCATCAGCAGAAAGTCCAAACAAACCTGTAATACAGACACACAACCCTACCACAGCTTATGCATTAAGGCAAAGGCTATAAACAGGAAACAGATACAATATTGTTTATAGCTGCTTATGAAACAGGTCTGGCTATTTGAGTTTTGTGCTCAGCCCAACAATATTGCAGTAAGGTAAACTTCAGAGAATCACTGGCAAAATTACAAGCTATCTGCATTTAAAGCAGTTTCAATTATGAACAGCTTTGCTAGAAGACATGCTTTCAAAAACTTACATTTTTTTGTTTTTCTTGTAATTAAATACTTCAGGCCCCAATTTCAGAATCCAGGAAATCACCAAATCATTTATAACAAAAAAAGATTACAGAAATGTGGCTCGGTCAAGAATCTCATACACCAAAATATAATGAGACAGAATAATTTTTGAGTACAGACCAACTAACCCTCTAACAAACCCAAGCATGCTTTCAGTGCAGTTAAGCTACTGCTACATTACTTTACATACCTGCCCATTCCCACTCATTTTAATCAAATGCCAAAAGTTGTCCCAACATTCTAACAATTTACAAATGTACATACATATCAGAAACCCAAGTATTATTATTAAACTAAAGTAATACAAAATACTGTTTTATGGAAATGGCTGAACAGAGGTGTAAAATCTATTGCACAACCTAAAAGGTCATTACTTGGAAAATCCTGAGCTAATGTGCTATTACCAAACAATTCAGGCACTTTTTTTTTTCCTTTTTATTATTACATAAGCAATAAACTTTCAACATATAAACTTCTGGGTATAACAACTCAAGTTCCATCTGTAGCAACATGCTGAGAGAGAAAATATTTAATAAATAAGACTCCCTTCAGTGACTTCCTTACTTGAGACTGGTATGCCAAAGGAACTAAAAGGTACACACCATGATGTTTCAGTTGAATACTGTACTTTAAAAGCAATTATTAAAACTGTAAAAAAGTTCTGCAGCATTCAAAATAAAGTTATTTTTTAATCAAGACAGTTACAGTGTTAGTTCCTTTATCCTATTTTAAGTCTTGACATAGTTGTCAAAAAATGAACAGATGCTCCCTTTGCTGTGTTATCTGTTTCAACTTCAGGATCACAGTTCAGTTCAGGTTTCTGTTGCAATATTTAGATTTCCCTACACAGAGAAAAAAAAGAATTACTCCCGATTTGTAACAGCAAAAAAACCCTCTCAACTTTCATAAGTATGGTATGTAACATGTAAGATTCTTTCAATTATGGATTGAAACAGCACAATTGTAAAGACTGTACCCTAAAGGATGCACAAGTATTATTATTTCCAATGAAGTAAAGTGAAATATAGATGTTCAGGCCACTTTTAACAAATCTTGACAAGTTTAATTGTTACAACAGGCAAAATGCTAGAGTTTGAGGAACAGTTTTGGTTTTTAAGAATTAGCCAACCAGCAACCATTATGCTGTTAGGAAAATGGTTGTCATACTTCAGCACTTATTTTACTTAAACATACTCAAATTCATCAGGCCTAATAAAGAAAAAGAAATCAAAATTTAGAACTCATTATAATTCTGTGATTCAAATCATAATATCTAGTAGCCAGATTGTGTTAAGCATGTGTTATAGGTTCCAGACAAGAACCTTAATAGCCAATTATAGAAGAACACTGGAAATTACTGGGGAAAGCTCACTACAATAAAATTATAACACTTCTATACCCATTTTACAAAGTCATAATTTTTTTGGGGGGTGTAATCTTTCTATATCTATTTTCAACTAATTCCAATTCAATTTAGCCTTGTCAGGGCCCATGCAAATATAAGAGGCATTTTCCAGTATACTTCAGTAATAAGTGACCCATTTACCTTGTCCCAAGTGCCTGGTTTTCTTTCTGTTTTGTTTTTTGTTCTGTGTGTTTAATGTTTTTGGGGGGCTTTTTCCCCCCCACTGGGCTGTAAACTTGAGGTTTTTTGAAAACAGCTGTAAGAACCTGTGCTCTAAGGTGCCTCTGTACTCTGAGAGCTGAACTCTAATCCAACTACAAATTCTTATGTATGCAAGTGTATTTACTTGTAGCTGTACGGACACAGAATTACAAAACAAGAATTCACACAGGAACACAGAACTGCAAGGGGCTGTGTGGGTCATCTAATCCAACTCTCTGATGTCACCAGTAACTTCACACTACTTTGATCATATTTGTTCAATTCTAATACAGGATTTAGAATGTTTTAACTACTGATCCTCATAAAAGCTGTAACATTTTATATGGTTCAAAAGTTCTTCTGCAGTTCAACATTACTGTTGTCGCATACACACTGAAAATCAAAGCATCATAAAACAGATATGCCTATTCCAGTTTAGGCTTATCAAACCATTTTACAGAGACATTATATAGTGTAGGATGTTTTATTCAGAGTGGCACACGGGTGCACACTTTAAAGCACATGATTAATTTAAGGTAACATAACAAAGAGGGGAAGCACACAGATGTATTAAAAAAATTAATGCCCTTCACTTTGATTTAAAACCATAGCTTAAGAGGACAGAGTATTTTTTCTTTCCACAGAAGGCCACTTTCTTGTCCTGTCAGTAGGAAGAGAAATCAACTGAGTTCAAGAAAAGAATACTGAAATAGGGGCAACCACAGAATCTCAAGAGGCCACCTCTGATTTGCAGTTACCCAAAGCAAGTTTCAGCAAGTTTCCATAGAATAAACATGGAAGAAACAGGAGTACACAATCAAGGTTGCCTGTAAAGTACAAAGAGCCAATATTCCAGAAAATCCTATCCAAGTTATTCCATGAGGATTTAAAAACTGAAACAGATCTTATGAATATGCATATTTTATAAATGGCTTAGTAAGAACAATAAATTAATCCAACTTACCTTTTCTTTCCTCAAAAATCCATCTCTGAATTTATTAGTGGTAAATCCCCTTACACCAACAGAACGTAACCGCTGGTACTTCGCCTGAATATATAAACCCTTCTGTACTAAGCCTGATTTATAATGGGATTGCAAACGGCCATCTGCAGAGTTGCTCTGGGGGAAGGGAGGAAAAAAAAATGTGCAAAATGAGGGCACCAAAACTCAGAAGTTCATTTTACAGTTATACACATGTAAAACTTACAGCACCCAGCGACAGAAGTGTGCATTTGGAAGTGCACACCCTGTTCCTTTACTTCCATTTATTATTCCTCAGACCACTAGCTACCACTTGGCTTGAAGACCTGCTGCATTACTGTTTAAAACATCTAAATTATCTTCCTCTTAGGAAAAAAGCAAATTTATTGTACAGCCTTTAAACATTTTTTTTTTCAACCTTTAAGGAGAGGCACACTCCATCAACAAAAAACTTTCAGACCACACCTCATTGCCATGAACAAATTCAGTGATGCCAAGCTTGCAGTGGGCACAGGTGTTGAGTCTAGAGAGTCACACTAACAGAAGTCAGTATATATGCTTTTTGTATAGTTTAAGGTCTTTACAGTCTGAATGTACATACATACATTGCTCTATGCCTTGGAATACTGTAAACTAACCTAGCGTGAGACTAGGAGTGGAGGCCATAGAGACAGCAAAAGACTTAACAGTGAATGGCATTATAAATACACAGAGAGAAGCAACACTGACCACAGCAGCTAAAGCTAGAAAAAGATTTTTATTACTAAGCACTCAGACATCCAACAAAATAGGTGGTAAAAATCTTTAGAGTAAGAAAAACTGTCATAATTTCTCATAGTTTTGCAGTACTGCCATTTTAAGTTTTCCAGCACAGTCCTGACATAAAGCATTCATGTACACTTTGATCTTTTAAATTTAGTTTCTCCACCCCATCCAAATTTAAACAAACAATGGCTTTTCAGCTAAAATCAGAGGAAACCTCTTGACCATATAAAGTCTTGTCTTTTTACAAACACCTTTGAAGGGTAAGAGAAAAAAATATATCACAGAAATAGCCCTTCTTGACAATTACTTCAATGACAATTACTTTGGCAAAACTGGTCTCCTTTTGACAGAGTAAGGATCACTTCAAGAAAAATCACATGCTCTGAAGTTGCAATAACTTTAGTACTCGTTTTTCCACTGCATTTTCCACTATGTGGTTGATAAACAACTAAGAAAGGACCGTACATGGAAAAAACAGAGGTTTTGTTATTTCCCAAGTCACTTCACCCATCTACTTTGCAGGAGATAACTGAGAAGCTGGCCCCATCATTCCTCCAAGGTTACTCTGATGGAGGTCACTTGCAGAAGGCTATTAAATGCCAGTGCCTTTCCTGAAGAGTATCAAAGTGCAGGCATAAAAAAATTTATGTGCACTTGGCTGTTTTAAGTGGGTATATGCCTACCACAGGGAAAACTGAAGGGCATTTTTAATGCTGGATTAACACCCTGAACACAGTTAAGATTAAAAGTTCCCTTTTTCCCCCATAGCTACTATGGTTCTCTTTGACTTCAGAGGCTAGAAAGGGGGCCTTGGTGGTCTGCCACTGCACTTGTATGACAATAGGCAAAGGAGTAGAACAAATAAGAGATGGGGAAAAGCTGCAAGAGATTGAAAATTCCATTACAGACAGCTTAGACGTTTCAACTCAAGTATCTACATGTTCCATAACTGGAAAGGGAGGGAAATAGCAGTATTATTAATGTAGAACAGAATCTGCTGTAGACAAAGTTAACAGATGATATATATACAGGCACTTCAGTCACACATAGCTTAGAGCAAAACAAGGTAATCTAAAGTGTGTGGAAAACGTCAGTAACTTCTGGTCTAAAAATAAGAAAAAAATCTGCTAAAAGTAGCATTTAGTTTTACATAAAGACTGTTTTATAAATAATGCTAATGATAATCCCTATGAACAAATAGCCTCAGGCTCTAAAATAGGCTATATGAGCAAACAGATACCAGTGCATTGAGTCTGGCTGGGATGGAGTTAGTTTTCTTGACAGCAGCTTGCATGGTGCTGTGTTTTGTGTTTGTGACTAAAACTGCACTGGGAGCACACCAGTGTTTTCGTTATTGCCCAGCAGTACCTGCACAGCACCAACACTTTCTCTTCTTCCCCTACTCTGCTCCTTGGCAAGTACACCAAGGAAGAAGCTGGGAAGGGCACAGCCAGGACAGCTGGCCCAAGCTGAGCACAGGGATGTCACATGCCATATGACCTCCTGTTGCCTCTCTGGCAACAGAAACTGAGGGAAGGTGGTTTTGGAGCAGACAGCCATTGCTTGGGGACCAGCTGGGTATCAGTCACCTCGTGAGAGGTGGTGAGTGCCTTTGCATCACTTTTTTCTTCCTCTTTTCTTCACTTGTTGAACTGTCTTTATCTCAACACGAGTTGTCTCACTTTTGTTCTCCATATTCTCTCTCGCATACTGCTGGGAGAGGAAGGGAGCTGAGGGGAGAGTGGGCAGCAGCTGTGTGGTGCTTAGCTGCTAGCAGGGGTGAACCCACCACAGCCATTAATACACTGCACTGTGTTTAAAAAGTGAAGGCAGTTTAGTTTTAAAGATCACTGTGCCCGTACTCAAAGCCTGGCTTAGTGATTCATTGCAAAGTGTCATTACAAAAAAGACCTTTTAAATTTTGTAAAACTTCTCCAGATCCTTTCTATTTCAGAACAGCAGTTTTTGTCTTTTCCCAAAAAGTGGGAAAAGACCTTATGTTTTTTAAAAAAATACTCCAACTAACCCCCATTTTTTGCTTACTAAGTTTAAATGCCCCCATTATATATTTATCAAGAAAAAATGGGGGGTGATTTTTCGGGAAGGGGTTGTGGTGGCAGAGAACAGGATTCTCTCCATGTGTTTTTTTGGTGTGGCTTTGTTTGTATGTTGTTGTGTTTTTTCAAAAAAAATCAGTCAAGAAAGTCCTGAATATAGAAGATAGTCAAATCACCTTAATTTCACCAACAGCATGAGAAGGAAAAGCCCTTTTATACAGGAGGAAATTAAATTTAAAAAAAAGTTGATGAAATTAAGTGAAATCAGCATTGCTGTTTCCATGGCAATAATAAAAGTGCTATACAAATATGCAAACTGCAACACGAGTGCATATGCTATTTTCCCTACAAATATCAAAACTCCATGGGACAGATCGTTGGATACAACAATATTCATATAATCTGTGAGATGACAACTGAAATGGACAGTTTCATGCTTGTCCAGTCTCCAGCAGAATTGAGGTAAATGAAGGGAGCATCCACTATCAACACTGCCTCAGAGATCTGGCAGCCAGTGCTAAAGACTCTTCCATCAGCTGGAGGCTGACAACATGGAGGGAATACTGATCAAGAGGCTATGATGTCCTTACTTGTTAAAACAGTTATATCAGGCTGACACTTGCTAACTTCAGCTTAGAAAAAGACTTTTCTCCAGCAGAATAAAGACAGCCTTTTTTGCTAGTATTAGCTTAGCTATCTGAGATTGACTGGCAATGCACACGTAAACGGCAGAGCCTAAAAGCCTTTTTATCCAACAGTTCTTATGTTTAGCTGGGGAGGAGGGGAAGAAGGGGGAAAGGAGGAAATTAAAAAAACTCCACACACAACACACATCAACACCCCCCCCTCCTTTCAAAGTTTCATCCAAAAATTACAGCTACTTAGCCATTAAAATTTTACTTCAACTTCACTATCTACAAAACAGGAAAGATGACTACCTATTCTGTTTATTATTTTACTCCTGAAAACACACCTGTTAAAAAAGTAGGAGTAATTTTAAGGTAGAAAATTAGTGTAAGTTGCTCTAGATTTGATTAATACTTCTCACATAAACAGCTCTAACTGGACCCATACATAGCATTTCACTGTTAGGAGAAAAGGAAGAAAGTGCTTTGTTTTTCTGCTGAACCCAGGATACATTTTGCAATCAAAAGGCATTAGAAAGCCGTTGCACTACCCCAGAAAGTAGTTGCCCACCCCTTTAACATCTTAAGGCCCTGAGAATAAAACTTCACTTCCTTCAATCTTTTTTATGCACAGCTAGCAGTGCGCAGGGTACTCACAAAAGATGAGTTCCCCAGAAATCCCTGTTTGAAAAGGTTAGTAATACAATTCTTAAAGTAATATAACTCATGTCTCCCAGTCTTTGGAAATACTCTGGGCTTCTGTCATGTGAAGGAAAGACAGCTGAGCAGCTTGGTTTTTTGGATAGATAAGCTTTCTAGTCACTGTCCAATTTCTGCAGTTCTCCTTCTCAACTTTGTAGTTAACTTATTTATTTCAACTGCATAGACACAATACTGGACAACTGCTCAATCCACTGCCAGCCCTCTTACCTACTAAAAGCCAAGCCTCCCATTGCAACAAGGGAAACAATTCAGCTGTGATGACACTATGTTGCATGGCATTTAATACCTTCAAAAGTGTGTGTCCTGTTACTAAACTCAACAGGTTCAATCACCATTTTATGTACAAGCAACTGATAAAAGCTGATCTGTACCTTAAAGTGCCTTCTGATGGGTCCTGCATTTTCAAGGTGTCCTCTAATTCGCCTGTGAGGGTAAGTATCACTTGGTTTTGAAGAATAGTAAGAATTCTAGTAGAGAAACAGAGTTATAGGTTAAGGTTACGAAATTATTCAAGAGAAAAATAAAAAACGTTCAGGTTATCCTAACAAATATTGTAACATTTCCAGTCTTGTAGCATCTGACACAATGACACCGTTTAAAGGAACAGAGTACCAGGAGCAAGGGGCCTGCAGTGCAGGCTGGCTGAAGGGATGGCAGAGGCACACGCTGTTAGTGTGCACACCTCCACAGCAACCAAACAATTGTGTAGCATGTTACATTGGTACTTAGAAAATTCTACTTTTAACTCTATGTTTCAGGAGAGCATCTGAGGATTGCTTGCCCACCACAGAAACACAGACAATTTCAAAAGCAAGTCACACAGACAATTGGTATTGAAGTTGTTATGTCAACACCCTGAACAGCTGCAGTCAAACAGCCATGGTTGCCTAAAACAGAGCACTCCAGCCACTGACCTACCTGTGCATTTTGGCCCTTTTCCAACTTTCCCTATGACAGCTACCTTCAGACGATGTCATTCTCTTCCATCATTGCATAGGATCATAAATATTTACAGAATCATTGGCATATACTGGCATGTACTACATTAAAGTCACCTAATGCAGACAGAACAGACTTACTGATGAACCCTTATCAATCAAATTATTTTTTTTTGTTTATGTTCCATTCTTGAATAATCACAGATGCATTCCAATGCTGTTGAACTCCATTTTTTTCAAAGGAAATTTTAACAGCTTCAAATATATTTTAAAAAGAACCTAAGAAGAGAATTGTCCTGAAATATTTAATATATTTTAACATCTAATAAGAAATGCAAATGCATATTTTGCTGTTCACAGAACTTTTTTTCACTAGTAAACTACCAAAACTCTCCAGGAACACTGTTACTAATTGAAGGTGTGGGGTGTGTGTATAAACATAATAGAATGGTGTCAGAATCCAAGTTAACTTTTAACCAGAATTAAGCTTTATTTTTTTTCTTTGCTGTTTTAGACTACATTATTATCTACAATTCAACTATTTGGCTTCTTACAATGCCTTGACAAGAAGAGATTCAGAGAACAAAAAAAGAGAGGAAGAAAGACTTTATGGAGTGAGCTCAAAGTAATCAAAGTGGCTTTTCTGAGAAAAAGGTATGGAAACTTAAAAATTAAAGAGGGTAAACCACGTCAGGAAACTTGCAGCTCCCTTCTTATTCTAAGAATATGAAGACACTCCACAAAAATCAAATTAGTTTTTTCCACACAACACAAGCTGGAAGCTCCCAGTTGAAGCATACTCTTCCTTAAAGCTGGCAATCATCAAGATGAAAAAAGGTATTCAAGAAAATTCCCTGTTACAGTTAAAAATAAACCTTTAGGAATTAAAACAAAGCTTGCTTTAATTAACTGTGGATACAGCCTTTCCCATTCTCACCTTCCTGAAGACTAAAGTACACGTATGGAAATACAAACATTAAAATAACTTGATGCAGAGATACAGCAACCTACTTCTCAGAAACTTCCTAAACCAGAGGTTTTAAATTAAAAAAAAAAAAAAAGATATTTGTTCTGATTTTCTACTTCCCTCTTTAGCTATCCTCCTTTTGTCAGTAGAGTACAAGGCTAGATGGACACTTTTTACAATAAAGGTTAGACAATTGTACCTTCAAGACATAAGTTCTTTTTAAGTTTAAAGTCAATCTCCAATTACTGAATATTAACATCACAAATGTCACCTTTCGAGAACTAAAATTTTTTATTTTCCCACTTGTCTGCAAACCAGCCTCTGCATGGCTGACCATGAAGAGTCATTCCATCTTTAGAATGCCTTGCATTTGTAATGGCCATGCTTACACAGCTACCGTTGTTCCAAAGGGAACAACTCCTTACTGCAGTGCAGGACTTCCTAAAGACTGCATTTTTGCAGTTCACTATTAAATATGTAAATGCAATCTTCCTGAATATTCAGCACATTTAACAATAACTCATCTATTTCAAACTAACCTCCTTTTTATTGCAATACTGTATTACTCTGGTGGGTTGATTTTGTTGGGATGCCACATGCCCACCAAGCAGCTCTATCATTCCCCTCCTCAGCAGGGCAGGGAAGGAGAAAAAAAAAAATTTTAAAAAACTCATGGGTCAAGAAGGCAGTTCAATAAAGCAAAAGCAAAGACTGCAAGCAGAAGCAAAGGGAAACAACAGATTTATTCTCTACTTCCCATCAGCAAGCAACATCCATCCACTTCCCAGGAAGTAGGACTTCAGTACCCACAGTGGTTGCTCCACAGGACAAACGTCATAATAATCAATTCCTCCCCATATATCCTTCCTTTCTTTGAGCTTGTATTGCTGAGCAGATGTCATATGGTCAGTTTGGGTTAGCAAGATCTTGCCCACCCCCAGCCTAGTGGGTAAGGGGGGATGTGGGAGAGGCACTCTTGATGTTGTGGAGCACTGCCCACCAGTAACCAAAACTCTGCTGTGTTATCAACACACTCCTGGTTACCAATGCAAACCACAGCACTGTGAGGGTTGCTGAGGGGAGAATTAACTCCACCTCAGTCAGACCCAATACAATTACTTAATGAGCAGTTACTACTTATGTTGGGAAGCTTTAATCTTAGTCTGGAGTAAGTAATATTTTTTTACCATTAAAAACTTGCATTCCTTTACACTGAAAGAGCCACTGTTGTATCTGCAAGACAGCTACTTTCCAGAATTGATTACATAAAAGCTACTTTTGATGGATCTCAGAAAAGCTTCATGGACTTCTGGAACCCTGTCCATAGGGTATTAGTTACAGCGTATAAAGAATGACAATGTCTGTTAATCTCCTCTTTATTTTGCAGCCATCAGAAAGAAAGAAAGTGTTTTAGAATTATACTGCACACATTAATAAAACTTTTCTAGTCTCACCAGTTCCCCAAGTTAGACAAGCACAAACAATTGGAAATTACTACATTTATTTAGAAGGAATTTTCCAAAACAGACAAGTTTATTTCTGCTGAACCTAATAGAACTGTCTTGACCATTTCAGTATTAAAGTACACCACAGAAAGATAGCCTAAGAAAGACTAATTGTCCAAAACTAGGTTTCATATATGCAATATCAACAAATATAAGATATTTCATTCTTTAACATTCCATCCTCAGGAACATTATTTCAGACAGTTCTCATTATGTGATTTGCTCCTCATTTTTATTTAAAATAAGTGCTTTCCAGAACTTTTGTCATAATGAGGAGAAACACTGTTTCAGTAACAATACCACCTACACAAGATTCAGACCTTCCCTTCCAACCACTGACAACTAGAATGCAATAGAGTACTCTTTTTCTCAAGCTATTCAATATTACCTCAGATTACCTGCTCCATAACAAGGCTTTCTATTTTACCATGCACATGTTACACCATTACGTGGAAGAAATGTGATACTAGATACATATTTCTTTTACAGAAAGAAACACAGTGGTGGCAAAGTGCTTTTAGCTCACTCATATTAATTTCTGCTCCAACAAATACCTGAGGAAGTACTCTTGCACTAGGGCTGTGAAATTATGAGTATTTTTATTGCTGAGCACAGATGGAAGATAATGAAGCCTCACTTGAAATTTAAAAGGGCAAGACAGAGATTGTTAAATTTACATCAGCACAGACAATTCAGCAAAAAAAATGAATTATACGTCAACGGTGCAGAAGCTACTATTTCTATATTTAGACTTACCAGATGAGGTCTCCCAATAAATTTCCTGAAAGCTGGCTTAATGAACCTCATAGGCTTTTGGAAGCCATCAAGTTGAGAGGTTTGTAACTTTGAAAGACTGCAGCTTTGCTGGTTCCTGATGCGTATGAGAGAGAGAGGGAAAGAGAAAGAACAGTAAACATGTTAAGCCATGGCATGTCAACACCCTGTATTTTAAATTAGCTTATTCTGGCAACTGTATCACAAATGCACAGTGGCAGTTTTTAAGTAATTTTTTTCCTAGGACATTCGAAAAAATTACTAGTCTAGGCTCAAATTTCACAGAATTATATAGCAATGTGTATTCTTTTATGCAATGACAAATTAGCAGAGATGCTCTGCTTCCTGAAATTCTGGCTATGAAAGTCAGGTTTCCCCTGGCCCAGCCCTCTCGGTGGGTCACTGCTGCCCTCCACTGGTGGAAACGCTTTTTGCACTTCAGCATCGTCACACACGGGAGTTGTAAAGTTGTAGAGAACTTGCCATTTCATGACATCCCCAATACGACAGAAGCTCAGATAAATTGCTACATACTCGTTTCATCCTCAGCAAGCAGCTTATTCTGGATTTGAACTTTTGCTTGCTTGTTTTTATGGCATTTCGTTGTTCTGTTTTTTTCCTTTTTTTACTGAGCATATTACTAGTACAGACGCATCTGTAAGTATCTAAAAACATTTACCATGAAAAGTAACCCCAGAAATCAAAACCCATATTTCATGAAACAAAAAGAAAAATAGTTTACCTAGCTGGAAAATAAATTAATAAGGAAAAAAGGGAGGCACACTGCACAAACTCATAGGCATCATCAGTATATCTTACATGAACTGTTAAACCCCCTCAACCTCAGGAAAATTCTATGATGCCATTACTGCCCTCAGCCTACATTACCCTGACAGCATAACCCTCCTCACATCAAACTCCAGAACAGCCACACTTAGTAGAGAAATGTGCACTGCTCACTTTGAGCACATAGACAAAAGGTAAGCAGGACAGTAACCGTGGAAGTGACAAAAAAGAGAAGAAAAAAAAAAAAAGCCTTCCCAGAAAATTAGGCCAAACAGACACTAAAGATACCGCCCCAGGTACGTAAAAGGCTACATGAAAACAAGTCCAGGGATTTTTTTTCCTTCACTTGCTAACCTTAACTTTTTTTGTCTAAAGAATCTCAAATACAAGAAATTACTTCTGCACCTGCACAAGTCAGTTTTTCCAAATGTGTGTATTGCCATTAGTTGCCATTATAGACTGCATTTAAAATTAACAAAGAGGAACACATTAAGAGCAATCTGTAAGCCATGAATACAGTGTGGATACATTTCATTATTGTAGTAATGCTTTAATCAACATTTCTGCTAACACAAGTCCCTTTCTCCAATCAAATCTCACAATATCAGAAGTGGAACAGGATGACTGAGATTAGCAAACACCTCTGGGGCAAACAGCTTTAACAAAGCTGATGGAGGCATTCGTAGCAGTAAAACGCTATTCCAGAATTCCAACTGTTCAAATTCTCCAGGAATCAGAAAAATTCCAATTATTTGTTGATATTCCACATTCCACCAGGGCAATACAATAATGTATTCATCCTAGAATGCTTTTATGAAACTACAAAATACCAGGAGAATGTTGCTATACGGCACATCAAGGAGTTTAAAATTAGTTAACCACCTTTAATTTCCTCCCCTCTTCCCATTTAGTGCTACAGTTTGGGCTTGCTTTTCCTTTTTTCCTCAATGCAGTTTTAACACCTTTCCAAGGTAACACTTCATTACAGAGTAGTTTGCAATGTATGTCCGTTGAATTTCAGTCCCTCTCAAACTTTTTAAGGCCAAACTACGGAAAAGAATCACAAAGGGAGAACATAACTGTGTAAGGGTTCAAAAATGAACACATAAGGGAACTACAGGCTTGAGCCAACAAAATTAGTTGCTAATTACCTTGGAGTTACACCATCTACATGAAAGACTCTCTCATCTTCATTCTTCAATCTCTCTTTTCTTCTCCTTTCTATATCATACCGTAGATCATTTGGATCTTCTAACACTCTTACAACGTTCTAGTTAAAAGGAAAGGTTGAAGCCAAGTTAACTGGTATGAACTAAAAACCGACCTGATTCTGCCCCTCAGGGGCAGCACCCTGTACGTAACTTTGTTAACACAGATCAACTGTCTGCACACAGGATCCACATCAACCCAGGGATCCAAAGTCTAAAACACTAACAGCTATTCCTAAACAATTACCCTTTCTTGTGCTATATCTGCCTTTTACAAGTTTCCAAGCAACAGTGAATGGAGCACTGGAATTCTGCATGGAGTTTCCAAGGCATAAATATTCACATAAATTTCAGTAAATCTTAAGAAGTTTTATTATCCTGAATTAAGCTGAATGTCCACACACTCGTACTACAGAAAAGAAGTGGTAACTAAATCACAGCAGGCACAGTTTGAAAGATGAAGACAGAAAATCTTATGACCCCAGATGAAAGCATGGGATAAAACAGCATTCTGAGGAACTATGTGGATGTTGGGTCATTCTAACAGTAGGGTAGAAGAAACATTAAGGCTTTTTGTAATCTTACAGGGAAAGTAAGAACCACATGTCAGTCACAGACTCAGTATGCACACTGTTTAAAATCAGACAGCAGTTCAAGCAGCAGGAATAGCCACACTCCAGCTACTCTGGAGAACACATCTGCATTTTACTCGTCAGTGAACACAGTGTACTTGCACCACTGTGACATATGTAAATATGCTCAGGTGTGCATTTTTCTCAAAACACTCAGAATTACTGGCGGTCTTCAAAGCATGTAAAAATTATGTACCAATAGAAATGTTGTTTACATGTACAACATTTTAACTTACTGTTTGCCGAAAAAGTTAAGTTATCAAGATACCTGGGGAGATTCAGATGGCACAGTTCGTTTGTTCTGAAGTTCTGCTAGAGACATGTCAATTCTCCTGGAACACAAAAATATTACATAAAAACCTGCCATCACTATAAAAGCAAAAGCATTACTGACCAACTACAGAATGCTTCAAAGAATATGGGCAGGTGGGTTAGTCAGTGAATAGAAACACTTCACATTGTGTAAAGTCTGCTGAAGATTAATTACTTAATGTAAATAAATTAAGACAAAAAGTTCAATCATTACCTGTGAATTTCTGGATCCGAATGTATTTTCACTTCATTCGTATTTGTACTTGGTTTATCCTGAATTTTTGAGAACCGTTCATGTAGAGTTATGTCAGAAGATGCAAAATAATTTGCTGTGAATAGATATTAAATACAAGAATGTTATTTGTTGTATTTGAAATGCACAGTGGGAAAATCTATCTTTTAAAAGATTAATTCTTAAGGATACCATGACAACTTTACTGAAATGAAATTTCAAACTATTTCCACTTTCAGTTAAACAATTGCAAATGAAAGATCAGGCCAGCCCTACTTAGACATTCTTCTTATTTAGTAAGATTAAACTCAGTAGAAAGTTAACTAATCAGCAGCTCTATGATGGTACTACTCAAATTACTAGAATCTATAACATTCAACACTGAACACCATGCAGCAATCTGAACACTAATCTGAAAAATTAAAGAAACCACATATAACTAGAAAATTGTGGCTACAGCAAAACTTTTTTTTTTCTTGTTTCCTAAATCAGCAGGTTACTCTCATGTACTAGTATAAAATCTTTTTGACCCTAACACTCTACAATAATGCCTCAGTTAAGGTCTGAGACCTTCTTACAGCCATTCTCCACCCAGCTACTTTAAATCCTCAACCTACATTTTTCTTACACAACAGAATGAAGCCAAAGGCAAATGCCTGAACTTCCAAGGACATCACATCCAAACCATTAGATTTCGGTTTAATAATCATATATACATAAACACATACATATACTCCAAATATTACAGCCACCTTTAACTTGATGAATAATTGTGATTATTTCCTGAGTAAATTCTTTTGATGGGTCCTTTTCGACATTTTGTGTTACAGATTCCATGTGCTCAAACACGGGATGAAAATTCTCATTTTTTCTGCCAACAGCAGCCAGATCATGGGATATCTGCCTCTCTGTAGTATGACTGGAAGCACTCCTAGAACAAAAAGTTATAGTGAATTATTTTAAAGTTAATATCTACATCTGAAAACTTGAAATAGACAAGTAGAACAAAACAATTGATTAAGAAGTTCATTTTAGGAATAAATGAGATGAAACAAAAAATCTCATTTTGTTCCTTTTTTTAATTAACAAACTCATAAGGAAGAAAATTTCTTAATAAAATACTTCACTTTCAGGAATCTTTGTTTCAGTGAACTACAAAGGACAAAATTTGTGAATTTTAAACTTAATTCAACTAGATTATCAAATATAGGCAAATGAAGATCCTGACATATCTCTTTAGTATAACTCTGGAAGGCAATTATGCCCATGTCTTTGTTTATAAGGAGCTCTAGGCAATTTTCAAGAACAGTTCAGAGATAAAAAAAAAAAAATCTCACATCCTTGGGAACTGAATCATCACTTGAACTCAGTGAAACAGCAGCAAAACTGCTCCAGGAGCAGTGTATGAATTTAAGAACACGTTTAGCATCTTTTCGTAAATTTTTACTCATTCTAAATGAGTTTACACCCCAAATGGTTGCCCTGCTGCTTAAACATTATTTTGACAAGAAAGTCAACACTTCAGAAATCCTGCTGTTCTTGTTGCAAGGAAAATGCTTGTCATTCCAAAAGATATGTTGAGGACTCAGAGCCCATATAAAAGCTTTCAGAATGAAGACTGTTACTTGTGCATTCTGCAAAGTGATTTTTCTGCCTGCCCATCCTGTATAAGCAGCATATAAGACTAGAGTTCCATACAAAAATTGTATTAGAAATAGCCTCTAGAAGGTGCCAGAAGTCATCTATATGCCCCCAGTAAACTGGAAATAAATGCATGTAAGAGGGAATCCAAGCAACCTCAGCTCTAGATGATTTATCTACCTGCTCCCCAGCTTTATAAGAAACTATTCTTCTTGGCTCAGTCATTTCAAGTCGGGCATCTCTTAAATGCCTAAAGTAGGCAGCATGAACATTCCCTTTCATCAGCTTCTGTAAATCTAGTGTTCTTATCGTTAAAAAATAAAATACTTCGGACTTTTGGCTGCAGAAGCAAACCGTCCACACATAAAATTAACTGTAATCCATGTAGTAGTTTCTTTAGTCTGCAAACAATTACCATGTCCATTGTGCGTGACCGTCAAAAACAGCAGCAAGAGGCTACTGGACACAGGAATTGTCCTGTGGGCTTGCAACAAAACCCAACAACAATCGTCCTCTCCTTATCATCCAGGAAGTTAAATGCTTGTCCTGGCCTGAGGGTGGGAGTGGGCATTACTCTATTTTGCTTCCCTCAGTCTTTAATATTAGCCCCATATGTGCAGTAACTTGTCTTTGTAACCCTCCACTGTATTACATATTTCTGAAATAGAGGGAAGGGGGAAAAAAAAAAAAAAAATCGGTACAGATGTTTTATTTGGGACAAGAGGTAGAATACTTTTAAAATGAAGGCTGATCATTTTGGAAAGGAAGGTAATTTCTTCCAAAAGCAATTATTATCAATATAAGACATTCTGGTCTGCAATAGCAAGGCAACAAACCAGAAAAATCCTGCAAAAAATCTAACAAAAATCAAGCTGCTTACTCTCTACCACATATTCATCACCTAAAGTCTCATAGTATTACCTCTTTTTTTTCCATTTCAGCTAGCATTGGGAATGCTAAATGCAACCACAAGTATTACACGGAAGATAGACAGAAGCAGACTCTACTGCTTTTCAGTTCTGATGCCTCAACAGGTTGCCACTTTTTCAGAAAAATAAGTGACAACTCAGGGATCTTTAATTTTTGACAGCTTTACTGACCTTGAGATCTTTAACATCTGAATATGTGCTTGAGATTCATGCAATTTAAAGATTAACTGATTTTCAGAAAAACTTTTCAGTCAGTCAAAAAAATGCCATCATATTTCAGAACAAAACATAGGACTGGGCTTTTCTGCTTTTGGTATTTTATTTGAGGTTTTGTTTTTAAATAGAAGTAGCATATTTACTGATCATAACCAACTTGTTGGTTGGTTGCCTGATACAGGTTTGCATCTGGCATATCTGCTCTTTCCACTTCCTACAACTCCATGAAACGAAGTAGAGAATTTTTCTTGTTTGGTTTTTGTTTGTTGGTTGGTTTTGTTTGTCTTTAATAGAGGTTTAATAGGCAACTTTTCAGCCTGAGCAAGTTACCATTTTAAAAGAAATAAAACTAAAAAAAGTACAATCATACTTTGTCCTGTTACCTCCTAAAGACACCACGTTTTCCTCCAATACCCGTAAACCATAAAGAGAGCAGAAGAAAGAAGAGGTGAGGGGAAAACCAATACCTGTACTTGGTGACCGTTTTCTTCAGATCCACTTTGATTGTGAGATGTTCCCTCATACAGTTGACATCTGACACTTTCACATCTGAAACAGTATGACTCGAATCACACTGGCTATTGGAGGAATCTACGTTTTTCCTTAATTCCCCGTCCTTCCTTACTCTTTCATTCGGTTTGTTTTTAAAAGATCTCGGCTCAACATCCGTTTTGGAAGAGTTAACACAAGCATCACAGCCCTTCTTTGAGCTATATTTAACAGGTACTTCGACGTGTCCTTCTTCAGTCCGCCTCGCTCTTCCACCACTAAAGTACTCTGACTCTTTGCTATTCCGGGCACCCTTAGAAGAACTGTATTTCTGGTCCTCCTGCTTCACGTACTTCTGAGCTCTATCACCTGGAAAAGGCTTTTCCCCCTCCGGATGCCTGCGCCGGTTGTGATTGTACTCATAGGCTATCTTTGGGACAGAGCCCCCCACGTACTCCCTTTCAGCCGACCGGTGGGACTGGGCACCCGGGTATCTTTGCTCCTCCTTCTCTTGGTAGGGTGGAAAAGAACGTTCTTGCTTCCACTTGGAATTTCTTGCTACGTCTCCACAGTCATACTTCTCCATTTCCTTAGCCCTTTTAGACGTGTGCCCATATTCTCTGTAATCGTGATCTTCAGGATACCTGTGTTGACATAAAGCAATTTACACTTGCACTAGAGAAGAAAGCGAGAACTTATACGTGCAGAATGTTGGACAGCAGAATGCGTGGCAAGTTAACCCAAAATCCCTCACGCCAAGGTACAGATGTGCAGGGGCTCTTAAGAGGGAAATATTATCCTCTCATACTACAGCCAGCAAAACGATTTACTAACAGACAAATACTTCACTACTACCAGTCGCCCATAATTAAACTACAAAGTGGCCAACGTGTTTCAAGGTGGGTATCTTCAACTATAATGAAAACAGACTTTCACTTGAGGCTTTACACCACAATACCCAGGGTTTAATTATTTTATTCCTATACCTCTTCTGTAAAGAGCTCCTTGCCGTGAATTCATCAGAAACTCTTCTGGGTGACTGACCATACTTCTCTTCATGTAACCTCTGGTGCCTCAAGTCATCTTCGTGCCATTTTCTTTCAAGTTTACATGAAGACCCTAATGGTCTATGAAAAGGCTTCATTCCTTTTTCGTTTCCAGTGACTTTGTAGTGATCAAACACATATCTGTCCTCCATTTTGTGTTGGTAAAATGGACGATCATGCTCTTTATAAGGTATTTCCGAGTATTTTGGTGGTAACTGGCATCTCCTATTGCTTTCAGTTCTTTCAGATGAATGTGTTCTGTAGGGCTTATGACTGTAAGCGTCTTCCATGGGAATTCTTTTCAGGTTTGGTGAAGGTGACCTACGTTCATATATTCTCTGGTGGTTATTTCCATGAGGTGCAAACCTGGAATTGCTTTGTCCATATTTTTCATCTTCTGTTCTCCAAGGCATAGGCTTCTTTGGGTCCTTACGAAAGCTTTTATATTCACAGTCATAATTAATATGAGCATGCCTTTGCCTATGATGCTCTGGACTCCTAAATGCTGGAGATAAGGACCTAGAGCAAAAATAAAATCCACTTTCAGTAGTCCATAAAATTGAATCATCTTCTTAATGAGAACATCTATTCCCTAAGGAAATAGAGTTTAGTACACAATTTTAATCAACTTGTAAAAAAATTAAACCAAAGATATTCGGTGACATTTTCCTGGCTAAAGCAGCAAGCTTACTTTTACTCTGTTGAAAGATTTCATAGGAAAAATACTCACTCAAAATAGTAGTAAGTCAATCATTTTTGTCTCTTCAAAGTTTTTAATTTAAAACTTAAAATAATTTCACATATATGAAGTTTCCACTACATTGAAAACAACTGTTAAATGTATTTTCACACTTCTTAAGCATTTCCTTATCTTTTTCAGTGCCAAGAGAAAAAAGAAGGAAAAACAGCATATAAAGAAATTTAAGAAGAGGAAAAATGCCTTTTCAGGTTTTCTTTGCATGTCAAAACAACCCCCAAAGCTTACTGAAGACATTATAAAATATTCTATTTAAAATGCCATACAGGTAGGCTTTTTCCTACAGAAATGACTGAATTTGAAGGAAATACTTAGGTCTTTTTGAATAATTGTATGTACATGTTCAGACATGTATACATATGCACTTCCACACTTACTGCGGTTTTTGCTATTAAAGATTCAATTGCCTCACTGTGCTTTGCATTTTCACCTACACTTACAAAAACAAGGGCAACCCGTTAGGTTTTAGCCCAAACCTGCTTAAATAAAGAAAAAGCAGCACAAGCCATTAGCAAGAACCAGAAAGTAATCCCAGACATAACAGTTCTGCCTGTATTCAAGCATTCACTGCACTCTCTCAACACACTCTTTAATGAAAACATCAAAAAATGCAAGTAGGAAAAAAAAAAGAATATCAAGGAAGTCACTTCCTTTGTACACCTATTGCAAATGTACAATTTGGCAGAACTGTTTGCTCCATTTCTGCAAATGAGTTCACATTCAGAACCACAGATCTTCCTAAAAACATAATGGCTGACTTCCAATAGCACCCGTACTGCGGCTGCTGTCCCATGTTGGTCTGGTTATGGTTTGCATTTTAATGAGAGCTGGGGCATTCCTCCCTGCTCTTACTCAAAGGACATATTCACAACTATCAATCTAGTATAGACATGGATAGGGTTTCTCTTTTTAAAAAGAAAGAAACTAATTAAAAAGCCCACACATTTTTCTGTGTTATCCAAACTCTCCTCGTCTTGTTCATCACAATTTAGTCTGTTCCTAAAACCAGCAGAAAAGGACTTCTGAACTCTCAAAAGCTTAAATTGTATTTGAGCCTCCTAGTTTTAGCACCTTGAATTTGCACTGCAAGCCTTAAAAATTAGGCAGGTAATAACAGCATGAAGTAAGCTGGATGTTATTCTGGTGACAACATCAGTAACACATGCTACTAGGCTAATGTCCAAGGAGAAGGGCACTGACTCGCATGTTTCCAGTTTGTGTTATGCTGCAAGGCACGTTTGACTCTGCTAAAGATCAGTTTGTAGCTGAGCCCCCAAACCTCAGAAAGCTCAAAGTGTTTGAACCAAGAAGTTTTTTTAAAAAAAGAAACTAATAATTTTTTTTAGCAGTTCCTCCCTGTAAACCAAGAGCAAGTTACAGACATTTAAATGCACAAGGTAGTGCTTGAGTAAAAATAACCTTAAATAGTTTGGTGCTTCGACTTTGTGCTTAACGTAGTTCTAAATCCCAAAATATGGAAGGTGAACAAGGTTCTTGGCAGACTGCAAAAACTTAACACCTCCAGTTTAAAAAAAAATCATCATAATAAAACGGTGAGCTGGGAAAAAAATGCAGAGGGTGTTCAGCTTGGAAAATAAATTATAATTTACAAAATATACTTTACAAATTGCAATTCAGCATGTAATATTCAGGTCCTATTTACAAATCCTTATAGAGCCCTACATTTCAGAACACAAGTTATGGGTATTTACCTTGGTTTCCATCGTGGTGATCTTGATCTAGATCTTGTCATCTTCTCTCACGTGCTTATGAGTTTCTTGAAGCTGTAAAAATGATATCATTTACTAGTTTGATTACAAATTGCAACAGGAACAGTTGTTTTTAACAAGCATAGTATTAGATGCTTCAAAGTTCGGGTGAGACATATTTTTAGGATGTTTTACTTAAAAGGTAAACCTCTAATACCCATTTTAAGGCAAGTAGTTTTCTTTTCCTAATTGCTTATTTTATTTGCTTTATAAAGATTTACATATTTTATCATTGTTCCATTTTTCTTGCCGTCTATTCACCATACTTTTAAATGTTAATAAACTCATAAGCAACTGAAAAATTGTTGTAATTGTTTGTATGTGTTGAATGCTGTAGACAATAGAGGAGAAACAGCTTTAAAAATCAAGTTTGTGAAAAAAAAATGTTTTTGCATCAAGTTATATTCTGAATTCCATATATATTGAATTTCAAATTTGTAATATACACCAATATTTTTACATGGTTACAGACCTCTTGTAAGCTTTAAGCGCTTCATCAAATCTTAACTGCTAGATCATCACATATTTCATCCAAATAAAACCAGATACAAAAGGTCATTTTTCATTTATATACTTCACCTGCTAATAACCTACTACCTGGACACACATATATATACTATGGATGCACTGTGACAAAGTGCTGCTCCTGACTCCTGAAAGTAGCTCTGGGCATCCCTTCTCATAATAGCTACAGAAGAATGAGAAAAATATCAGTGTAATCTACCCTTTTAGGTCTTCTTTGCAAAAAGATATTAGGACCTTGGAAAACAAGTGATGGAAGTATATACCAACTCACCAGTAATGTGACTGGTAAAAAGAAACGAAATCATTATTCATTACTGAGCAAATACAAAGGATTAAAGCAGAGTGAAATTATTGGCTAACTGGTTAAAAACTGGAATTTGGACCACATACTCATGCCTTCTAATTGCCACGAGATGCTGTAAAGGGCAGAAATATAAACAGACAGAAAAGCAGGTCCATCAACAGCTCTAAAATTAATGAACAACCAATCACTGGAAAAATGAAGGAAAACGCCCAGGTCAATGTCACTCTCTAAGTGCTCTGGTATTTGCTGTAATTATTTGCTCAGACACTCATGGAGACAGAAAACTAGTCTGAGCTGGCCAAGTATGGCCTTTTTAATACTCGCAGTGTTCAAATAATCTCTTTAACTAAATCTTTTACCTGAAAAACTGAAATTGAAAGGTGAGAAGCAAGCTTTAAGGCACTACCTGAAGTATTGTGCACCCACGTCTGACCCAGTGCCTCACACATCCCGCCCACCCCACCCCACTAGCTGGTCAAATAAAGTATCACTCCTTGCTATATTTGATTTTTTTAGTATGAATAGCGCATGGTTGAAAAAATAGAATCTCAAGAGAAGAATGTACAGCATACTTCTGATGCCTACCCCACAGGTCGATGTTAGACAAGTCACCTCCTATATTTCAGAGTGATTCTAGAAAGTTCTCACTAAGTTGCACAATAAGCTAACCAGACCTTTATTTGCAAGACACAGCATTAGCTTAGTCCTGAAGAAAAACCTCCGGAATTTATTTTTTAAAAATCTCAAAACTCTCCTGCGCACCATGAGGGTATTTGCTCCACAGTGAATCATTCCATGTGGTAAAGCACAAAGTTGTAAGTATTGCAAGGGATAGTGAAGCAAAACAAAAATCCAATCCCAAAGTACCACAAGGACAAAATACAGTATTTGTTCCCTGGACAAAATACTTGTTCCCTGAACTCTGAATTATGAAGTTATCCCTGTCTCATAGATCCTAAAGGCATATATCTGAGGACCACATAGCATGAATTAACTTCAGGCCCTTTACTTACTTGAACATCATGCTGGTCAAAGTTAAATATGATGCTCCAATGCCAGTATTCATTAAATACTATTTTTCAAAGAAAAGTAATACCGTGACAAAAATGTTTGCCTGTTTTTCACCCATAAAAACACATCTTACAAAACAGAATAGTATTTCAGAAACCAAAAACCACACTCCCTGGCTAACACATTTCAAAACATGGTGTGTGTCCTGCCAGCTTCAAAGATTCCCTACTACTCTCTCTTCTGGTAAACTTTTAAAGGTGACAGTGTTTTATGTGCTGATCAAATTATTTCTTTATATCTTCCCTTCAGTTCCAAACTTTATTCTTCATTTTCAAGTGAATGAAAAGACAAAAGCACCATTAAACCCCACCCAACCATTGGTACAGAACCTGATCTGCCAGACTGATCGAGGTACAAACTGAACATACATAAGGAGCAATTTCTTATTCTTTCGAGACTGGCTAAACAATTGTACCTAAAAGCATGAGAAGTACTGTGACAGCATGTCCTAGATCTTGCCTCAGGATAAGGAGGACTGCTGTAATTTCCAGTGAAGACACTCCTTTTGTTTAATGGAAAGAAGTGTTCATTTGTTTCAGTGCACCTCCTCAAAAATGACCCACGCAATATGATTTCCTCACAGAGAAACACACCATACAAAGGCAGCAGACACTCGACCCCAACCAAGACTCCCCATGAAACACCAGAATCACAAATTAATCTATACAGAATTTGTACACCCATTGCTAAATCCAAGTTTAAATCACCACAACTAGACCAGTAATATGGTTCCATACCAAAAGCAAGCTTTTTGTAGGATAGTATTGGGTAGCAAGCCTGTTTATAGCAGAATTACTTGAATTAAGTGAAGGCCCTACAGTTTCTGAGTCAGCATCCAGGTGCTTCTGAAAAGCCAGGTCATATTGGAGCAGAGATGCCAGGACCTGGCTGCTCTGGGCTCTGAATTTCTTCAAGACCTTCTGCTGTGCTTTGTGAGATGTTGTAACTATGAAAACATGAAGAACTATTTTTTTTAACTAAAAAGCATTATTAAGTTCATAGTGCTGCTTGTGTTTGCTGTGTTACAACAATAAGTGACTTATTGGAGGAGTTATCAGTAACTGTGCTTAGACAGTTTTTAAATATTAATGGGAATCCCACCTTTTAGTTTCTTTCCCTTGACTTTTGGAATTGATATCAGACAACTTCCCCCTCAGGAGAAATGGCCTCAAGCCTGCTGCCAGCTCTCTTTGATTCCATCCTTGAGAGATCAGTGCTTTGACAAGCACAAAATTCTTGTAGTATATATCTACTGCAAACCTGAAAGGAGTATCTTGAGACAAGGAACTCAAAACCAACTGTATGAAATGTGCCAACTTGAACACATGTTCTTTCAGAAAGGCCATAAATTTTTACCAAGTTGCTCTCCTGAAAGAACAATCTTCAACCTCCTTGACATTCTCCAGCAGAAACACAAGAAATCACAAGTGACTAAATGACTGCAGTCATCTAGCTGAACAGAGGGGAACTGGAGCTCTTCTTAATGCAAAGAGCCCCACATCAGCAAGCCCCAAAGAGCTAAACCCCTGCAGATACACCACAGACACAGCAGAAGCAGTTAACTCTCCTATAAAAACTTATAAATGTACAGACTGCTTTACATGTCTTTTTGATGCCTTCTATTATCTACAACAGATCATGGAAGAAACTCTATTTAGGACACACAGAGGGCAGAACAATACCAGCAGTACTCATCACCAGGGAGCTGCTGTTCAATGCCATTTCACCTCCAGTGAAGGGAGATGTCATTCCTCACCCCTCTGTGAGGGATTGCCCGGCCACCATTGCCACTGACTCGCAAACCCTTTAAAGAGGGATAAGCAAGCGTCTCATAAGCTGGGTCCCACAGCTGACAGGAAGACAGACACTGACTCTTGCTGCAAAAACTACCCACCTCACTATTCTCTCACTTTGCCCAAATAGATAAGGAGCAGCTCCAAGCTTTCCATTGACTGTCTTCTAGGCAGGGATCAATCGGTAGCTGCAAGGGACACACCAAAGTCTGTATTGCTGCAGTGTCTGTCAAGAAAGAAAAACCAGGAATTGATACTCAATATCAGGACAACCAAGTCTTTGACAGAAACACAGTCAAAACCCCAGCTGCAATCCAGACATTAAAAAAAAAAAAAAGAAATACCTTAAAGTCTGCAATTCAGAAAGCCATTTACACTGTCATTAAGTGAAAACCGTAGAACAGGCAACTTCTCCAGTAGGTAGGTTATAATACCTGATGCAAAGGTTGTCCCAGCAGTGCCCACCCCAGACACTGTCCAAGCAGAACACAAGCCTGGCATGTTCTTGCCTATTCAGCTTCCAGGCAAAACTTATAATCTCCAATAGCAAATGCCCAGGAAAGAGTGCAAAACCAGAGAAATACCTCCCAACCAACCAGTCTCAATGTTTCTTAACCTGCAACAGGACTTTTAAAAAGTCAAGGTTTTTTAGACTGGCTTCAGTACCATCACCACAGGCAGAGGTTACCAGTGCTGTGCTAGGCCATGCATACACCCATTCCTCCATGAGCTTTCCACTAAACACCTTGGATCTCAAAACCACAGTTCCCAAATGGCACCTGCATCCACCAACCCCAACCCTCCAGGGGCTGGAGAAAGGATGTCACCAACTGTGCAGCACAAGCCTGCACCACCACCAGAGAGGTGCCTGGAGCCCAGTTACAGCTCTGCCAGCACATGGAGGTGACTCCCATCTCAAGGCACATCACCTGAAGGAAGGACATATGTGACAGGTTTGAAAACTATGAGCTAGAATAGCTGTTTAAGTCAAGGACACACACTCAGCTGAGGCAAATTAAATTCAGCTGAGGGATTTCTAAACCATTCCCTCTTTTAGACAACACAGCAAGTAAAAGATCAATGCAAGTGACTGAGATCCAAATTTCCATCCTCAGTTTTCTCGTAGCTCTCCTATATTCAACAACTGCTCTTTTTGATTACATATCCCTCCTCCTGGACTTTTATCACTCTCAGAGCACCTTCCACATCTCCAAGGTTATGTTTTGAATCTCCACAATATTTTGTAGCAGGTCTGGTAGCACCACCCCCAGGCCACTGCTGTCTCACAGCCTAAATCCTCACCACCAACACTACCAGGGAGATGATCCTTTTTTTTAAACCACTTTTCTTTTTCCTTTTCAGTGCCATGCCATATTTATCAAATTTCCAGACCTGGCCCACAGCACCTCCCCAGGCAGCTGTGGCAAAGCAGCTGGGAATGGTGTGCAACCATGGCAGGAGGCAGCACCATGAGTCCACACTACTGCCCAATGTGTCACAACCCAAGGAGTGCAGCAAGCTCCAATGCTCCAGTTTGTCTGCCAAGACACTTGGCCTCCCCAGCACCAGAAGCATCCCTCCAACCTACCAAAACCACACCAGTCCTTCTCAGCTTTGTCATTTTTCTTTGGCACAAGCCGGGGAAGGCAGGCTTTATACAGCTTGTATCCCAATGCCAAGGATTGTTAACAGACAACCAGGCCTCACATTAGCAAGGTAACTGTGCCATGCAGGGGCAGCATGTGGGAATCACTCTCTTCTGCTTGCTACACAAAATGGATAAGAGATACAAAAATTATTGTACTCCCTTATATTGACAGTAGGATGAAGACCTACGACAGAAAGTACAGGTTTAGCTGAAGCATACAGAATTTCCTAATGGACCACTAAACAAATTTTAAGTTACTCCTTGGAATACATAGAAAGTATTCCCCCGTGCCTGCATATTTGAGCAAAAGAATAAAAATAACTAAGTCTACTGAACATGTAACTTCTCAGCATGTTCTCATTTAAAAGCAACCCGTTTAATGACACTAGTTAGCAAGTGATGCCTCACGTTTGCAGAAAAACAGCTTACAATGCCAACTTGGAAGGACTAAGCAGGATAAATCTGTGTCACATAATAAGTGAGGTATTACACTCTCAAATAAACTTTTTTTTTTTACACAAAGAAAGCACAACCCATACATATATTATTGAGCCATTTCTATAACGTGTTGAATTAGGGGCCTTTAACACCTGTCCACTACAGTGTCAAATGTCACAGCACCATCCCCAGCCACTTCTGCCTACCACTTTCTAAGGGGACACCAGAAGCATGTCATAGTCCCACAGACAAATCACCACAACTTCCTGCCTACCGAAAGCTCTCCAACACATACAAACCACAATGAAAACCTTTGCTTTTTCACCTTAGGTCAAAAAACCACCAGGAAACTAAAATAAGACCCTTATTTATTCAGAATCAGAGATGCCACACAGCAACATTATCAGGAGGCTGGGAAGCCCAGGCTGCCTTCTCCAGTCACATCAGAGAAATGCACCCTTGCTGGAAGACTCCCAACATGTTTCCTCCCTTCCCTGCAGACAGCGAGCGCCTGCTACCACCTGAGAGGAAAAGCAAACCTAACTCTGTGCAACCACATCGCTCATCAGCTTGCTGCAACACCAACCCAGCCTCTGTCACCTCCTTGTGAACACCCACAAGCCAAGACTGCACCGAAATCAAGCCCATCTCATCCCAGCGCAGGCGGACGGAGAGTTGGTTTGATCACTCTTACAAAAGCAGTGGCAGAAATACCAGTTATTTTGCTGAAGGCAGATGTGGAGGAGTGCATGGACACTCAAGACTGACAGCTGTTTATCAGGATAACAGGGTGTGCCTCTAGAGGAAGTTAATTAATTCAGTTCACCTCATCAACACCAGTAGTAGGAAAAAAACGAAAAGGGAAAAATCCTCATAGCTTCTGATAAATCTTTCAGAGTATAAATATGAAAATAAGGGGAAGGACTTAGTCATCTGTGTTCTCCGCACCTCTCTGCCCAGCCCCGTGTCAGGCTGCCACAACATAACATCCATCAGCAGAGATCCTTCCATGCCTTTTGCATATTTCTTCCCCTCCCTTCCTGGCATTCCCTTCCATACTCTTCCTCCAGCCATCCACACCCAGCAAGACTTTCATGAAACATTCACTTTTCCTTGAGGCCCACAAACACGCAAGGTAAGCAGCTAATTAAAATCTCCCAGCAATTTGAGTAGCCTTTGTTTTAAACCCTTGTAACTCAGGAACCTAAACTATATTTATAAGTGACTTGAGGCATTTAAGAATGGCAGTAAAAATTAGGTATTGCTGTCCTGGATGGAGTTGAGCCAAGTGAGTAGAGTGCTATCACTGATTCCTCATGAGACACTACTGCACCCCAGAGCTGCATAAATAACTGTGCATAATGAACTAAACCAATCAAAGAAGTATAAAAAAACCACTGATTTGAACAAATCAGTACCAAGTCATCTTGCTTTGAGCTGACTCAGTCCTGAAAATATATTAAGCTAAACCAAAGCTGTGCTGAAATTGAGATGTAACTGCTATACGAAACCAGTACTGTGTAAAGTCTTTACAATGACTTTAACTGGCATAAATCCGCGTGTGACAACATATAAATCACTGGGAACAGGGACTGCTGGTATTTATGCCTTGCTCACCTCTGAGGTGTCCTTACAGAAGAGCGAGCAGCGACCTCCGCTCTGCGGTGCTGCCGGCCCTGAGGGTTCACACCACACGGCTGTTCTGGAACAGTCACGACACGGGGGCACGGCCGACAGACCCGCGGCGATCTGTCACCCCTGCCCTGCGCTTTGTTCCCGCCCTCCCAAATCTCGCTGAAGGCACCGCACCACGAACACACGGGTCCGTGCACAGGGAGGCGCGGTCCGGGTGCCGCTGCCCAGGCAGACCCAAGATGGGAGCAGCACAACCGCCGCCGACCTCCAGCCCCGCAGCAACACTCCCAACAGGCAGCTCCTCCCGGGGGGACCTCCCCCCGCCGCCTCCCCGGAACGGGCCCTCAGTGGGCGCGGCGGGGGTGAGGGAGCCCCGCGTACCCCGGCCCGACGGAGCCCCCAGGGCGGCTCGGCCGGCCCGCTCTCCCTGCCTGCCGGGGCCGGGACTGGGGCCGAGGCCAGGCCCGGGCCGGTGCGGCGCAGGCGGCTCTGACAGGGACAATGCCCGCGGCCGCCCCGGCCCCGGCTCCCCCTGACCGCGGCACCAGCCCCCGCCCCCCTGTCTGGGCCTCACACCAGGGCCCACTGCGGCCGCGGGGCCGGTCCCCGCACTCACCGCCTGCAGGGCCGCTCCCGCCGCTGCTCCGGCCGCCGCCGCTCCGCCCCGAGCAGGTGCCTGGCGAGCAGCGGGGCGGGTCCCGGCAGCCGCGCGGCCGCGGCTGCTCCGCACGGGCGCGGCGG